CATAAGATTCCTGTTACGGGAGTCCTATAGGATTTTTAGTACCGTCCTATATCAAGAATCCTATGGAATTTCTGCTGTAGGATTTGTCAGGATCGTATAATAGGAATCCTATGAAATCCTATTATCAGTAGGATCTTGTATTGTTAATTTTTACCTCTCGCATGAGGGAAACGTGATATGAATCGTTTACTTCCGCGTTTAAATCCGATAAAAACAATTGTTTGTGAACCTTTAGAGCTGTAATTTGAACTAGAAATGTATGTTTTTTCATGTACAAAAGTAGAAAAATGAATTTTCTTTATCTTTTAATGTCAAAACAAAAATGTGTTAGTCTTTCTATCAATTTTACATTTTTCTTTTTATACTGCAGTGCAAGCGGACATCAGGTCCGAGCATTACCTTCGCAGTAAATTATCATCATCATCCTCTTCCGCGTCCAAAGGCATGCATATGTAAAAAACGATTAAATATCTCTCTTTTCGTTCTGTTGTTTTCGTCACATGTGTTCCTCTGGCACTTTTTTTCCGTTAAAACGATAGAACGAAAAAGTATATGCAACACATAAAATTTCCTTCATGTCATCTATAGATGCCTTACGGCATTCAAGAGGTTAACTATCATAAGAAAACTAGCTTTAAATAGAAATGGTTTCAAATTATCTGAGAAAGTTTCTTCGTCAGTTATTTATTCTGCTCTAAAACCTTTGTCACCCTCCTCCAACTAGAAAACGTTAGATATTACAGGATAGGTATAAGTTGGCTTGTCATCATCATACTTTTCCATCAAAGATTACGAATGCAATTCACATGCATTTCTGATGTAGTGCGAGAAAAGTCCGATAATTGATGAATCACACATATTTGGCCTAAAATATCATATTTTCTAGCATGAACACTTGCTAATTATTTTGTTGTCTACTTTGTATTACGAGTCGTTGTAGTATAGTTTACCAGATATAACCCTTGCATTTCGGCGTTGATCGGGTTTTGGTGCTGTCCGATGAGATTTCAAAGCGTAATCTCTAGCTAAAGAAAATATGGGAAATGATTGTTTGTAAGTACAGCCTATACAATTTCGAGTGCATAACAAATTGATGAGAAAATAAAATTGAAAAAAGTGCTTGTTTTGCACAGAAAATTCTATTATATTGTTGGAAATCGAGGCTTTTCGCCCAAAATGTCCGATGAGATTTTTGATTTTGTTTTTTCGATGTCTCGATAAATAATACTCCGATCAAGATCAGACTTTGGACGTATTTGGACCTCATGAGATTTGTTATTTCCTAAAACGATGAACCAAATATTGCATCATCGAGAAGAAATTTGAAAAAAACGCGAAAATGTTCGATGAGATTTCTAATTCTTATTGCCAATGAGAACAGAAACAAAATTCAATTTATTACACCATTTGATTTGTCTGAGTGTGCTTTATACAATCGCCAAGCTCAAAAGTATCAGTTTCGCAAGTGTGCGTTATGATTGTCAAAACTCACTTTTCGGTTATAGATTAATCTTTTCGGCATTTTAATTGAAAAGTCTAGGGGATAAAGTTTTAAGAGTTGCATGGACAGATTTGGCTCATCGAGATCTATCGGGTGATGTATAGTACTTATTAGTTTTCTCAACTATAACTGACTTTTTTTCCACTTACATTGGGAATTGAGCGCGCTCTGATACCGAAAACGCGCTTTTTTGCTGTTCTGAGTATAAAGTGTTAGCAAAAAAGTTTTTCTGAGTTACGCCCGACGTAGTAAAACTCAACCCGATGCTTGAAACATGTTTTTATAAGCATCTTATTTTTTGAGATTTTCCTACTAACAGTACACTGGTTATGCATTTCACTCATCGACATTTAATATAAAAAAAGCATTTGATATTCTGACAAGAGAGTTGAGAGAAACTTAAATCTCAAATTTGTGTATAACAAAATTATTGCGTTCTTTGTCTTCGAAGATACAATCTGAGAAGAATCAATATTTTTGCATACTATCTATTTTCTTACGTGATTGTGGATGTTTACTAGATAATGGCTTCTTTACTGTAGTTTGTTGTGCAAGATCTATATTAGCTGCTGCACTTGATAGGCGATTATCCGATAATGGACGAGAAGTTGATGCTGATGATTTTTGAACTGCATCTGGTTTAGGTGCATTCTGTGGAAAACGTTTTATCGCATGTGACGACGATAGCCGGGAGTGGACCGGATCTCCAGCTAAAGAGACGACTAAAGCAAAATAGATTCAGATATGATTATTCTCTACCATTTTAAACTAAGTATGAAATTAGTTTTTAAGGTACGGTTTTACTGAAGTTTGTCCTGTTCTCTTCAACGTTCAAAAGTCACAATTATCATAGATTTTCAACATCGGTGTATTGGATTTGCGACTAATGATAAATTTCACAATCGAGTTTAACTTAGCACTCAACTTAACTACTGAAACTTAAGT